CTGCCATGTGGGTGCTGGGATTCGAACCTGGGTCTTCTGCAAGAACAACCAGTGTTCTTAACCACTGAGCCACCTCTCCAGCCCCTAAACAATTTTTTTTAGTCTTTTTGAGATAGGGTCTCCCTGTAGCCCAGCTGTCCTGGAATTCACTATGTAGACCAGGCTGGCCTTGAACTCACAGAGATCTGCCTGCCTCTGCCTCCCGGGTGCTGGCATTAAAGGCACGCACCACCACGCCCGACCAGATATTTTTAATTATGATGTGTGTGTGCACATTTGAGTGCAATGCCCACAGAGACCAGATGTGCTGGAGAGCTTCAGTTGTCAACTTGACACATGGGTAAAAGGAACCTCAACTGGGGAATTTCTCCCACTGGGGAATTTTTACCCACTGAGCCATTTTTTTTTTTTTTAAAGAAGGCACCTCCATGTAGCCCCAACTGGCCTAGAACTCACTATGTAGATCAGGCTGGTCTGGATCTCACAGAGATCTACCTGCCTTTGCCTCCTGAGTGCTGGAACTCAGTCGACCAGACCTGACTGAGTCATTAATTTTAATTGATACTTTTGTTCATAATTTGAGAAAGCGCTATAAATTGAGATTCAAAAGGAAGGAAAATAATGACAGATATCAGGGAGAGATTTTTTTTTGTTAGATGTATGTATGTATGTATGTATGTATGTATGTATGGTATATGTTTGTGTGCATGCATGTTCACATGTGTGTGGGCACATGCATGTGCATGGATATGTGGAGGCTGGAGGATGACCTCAGGAGTTTTGTTAATTGCTCTCCACCTTATCCATTGAGGCAGTGTCTCCCAGTTGAGCCCAGAGCCAATCAATACAGATAATCTAGCCAACTTTGTCCAGGAATCCTGTGTCTCAGCCCTCAGAGCTGCAACAAAATACTTGATAAAGGCAATTAAGGAAGGAAGGGTGTGTTTAGGCTCACAGATCCAGGGTCCAGCTCATCATGGTGGGGAAGTCGTGATAGCAGGAGCTCTAGGCAGCTCACCACATTGCATCTGTAGTCAGGAAGCAGAGAGAGATGAATGCTGGTGCTCAGCCAGCTTTCTTCTCTTTATTCAGTTTTGGACATTAGCCCATGGGTTGATACCACTCACATTTAAACTGGGTCTTCTCAATTGACTTATTCTAGATAATTCCTCAAAGACAAGCTCCAAGATTTGTTTTCATGGAGATTTTTAATCCCATCAAGCTGAAAATCAAGCTTAGCCATCACGAATGTTATCCTCAGAAATACCATCCATTCCCCTGGAGACAGTCTCTCACTGGCCTAGAGCTCACTGATTTGGCCAGACTGGCCAGTGAGCCCCAGGGATCTTCCTGTCTCCCAGGCCTGAGACTGCCAGTGCATGGGACTGCTCCTGGTCTTTTCACATGGGTTCTGGAATAGACTCAGGTCTTCATGCTTTTGAGGCAAATGCTTTACTGACTGAGCTCTCTCTAGCCCCAGAAGTAATTTTTGTAATCTAGTATAAGCAGGACATGGTGGCTCAGGTCTATAAATTCCAGTACTTGGGAGACTGAGGCAGGAGGATTGATGAGAGTTCCAGGCCAGCTTGGGTTGCATTGCGAGACCCTGTCTAAACCGGCCCCCCCAAACAAAACAAAGCAAAACAAAAAAACCCTGAGAGTGCCCCTCAGACCCCCTCCCTATCCTCTGAAAAAAAAAAAACTACCCTCCACCTGACTCTGGAAATCCCCTTCATTGTTCAAACCCTTTCCTGGTATCTGCTTATGATTTCTATGGAAATGGTCTGGGGCAGAAGAGATAGGACATTCCGCCCCAGGTGAGCTAGCCAATGACAGTATACTTGATACATCTGTGTATGGTCTTTATGGAAATAATCTGGGGCAGAAGAGAAAGAACGTTCTGCCCCAGGTAAGACAGCCAATGGCTGTATAGGTAAAGTCTCTGGAAATCAGCCCTAGATTGTTCCAATCCTTTCCTGGTTATTCTGTGTATAGTTTCTATGGATATCCCCTTGTTAGTGGTTTTTGTGGGTTTTCTGCTTAAAAGACCTGGTTTTCACTGCTTGGGGTCACAGTACAGCTCCCGAGACTGTCTGCGTCCCCAACCAGTTGGTTCCAATAAAGCGCTCCTTTTTACTGAGACTCAGTGTCCAAGTGGTCAATTTAGGGAATTTTACGGACCCTTAACACCCCAACAAAAGTCTAGTCTGAAAAGTAATTCCAAAGCCGGGTGTGGTGGCACACGCCTTTAATCCCAGCACTCGGGAGGCAGAGGCAGGCAGATCTCTGTGAGTTCAATGCCAGCCTGGTCTACACAGTGAGTTCCAGGACAGCTGGGGCTACAGGGAGACCTGTCTTTTTTAAAAAGACCAAAAAGAAAAAAAAAGAAAAGTAATTCCAAACTGAACCAGTGACTGAAAATACAAAGACAGTGGAAATTATTAAGCTCTTTTTTTTTCCTTTTTATTTTTGTGTATGTAAGTGTACCCATGTCATGCTGTAATATGACACCTTCTTGACCGTAGCTACTCCATGTTAAAGTTTTGGCTGACTCTAGTCTCTGAAATTATCAGGGAGTTGGCCCAGGGTATGGGAACACATGTCAACAGGACCCCAGTTGTCTTGGGAATTGGTCAGTGTGTTCCAGAGTGCACCTTCTAACTGCAGATTTATGGCTTCTGTAGGTTATGCTTGGCTTGCTTACAGACAGTTGTTAGATGCCATGTGGGTGCTGGGATTCGAACCCGGGTCTTCTGCAAGAACAACCAGTGCTCTTAACCACTGAGCCATCTTTCCAGCCCCTCAGCAAAGACTTCCATTTGGCAAAACTTTGGTGGTCTCTGGTGAAGCACCTAATAAGACTTTTGAAGGTTCCACTGAGAACCCAGAGAATTAGACCTCAAACCCTGGGGGACTGGCATAGGGAAGAAGTGCAGGTCTGAGCAGACTCCTAGGAGGATATCCCTTGAGGTGTTTCAGGCCTCAGGATTTCTGCCCCCCTGCTACCCTGCATTTCTGGTGGTTTTTTATATCCCTACCCCAAAAGATTTTTGAAGACTGTTACCTGTTTCTGGAAGCCTCCGGAGATAAATTACAGTCTGAGGTGCCCTCAGGAGGACACTTAGAGGGGAGGCTGGACTAAGCTGCTGACTCGGTGTTCAGGGAGTCAGCAAGACATTGCTGGCTGCCCACTGTAACTTAAACCTGGTGAATGAGTGTTTTGTGTGATGGCCATGTATGTTTTGTTGTCTGTATTTGTGCTGGTTTTGTTTCTGTTTCTGTTAATCTGTTATATAGAGGGGGAGCAAGTTGGCTCCTCTCCTGTGTGCTTCAATCTGTCAGTCTGTCATTTACAAGGGGGAGTGAGTTGACTCCTCTGAAGTGTATGTTTAAGTATGTTAGAGATGGTTTTGTTCCATCCCAGTTCCGGGGTACCCATGGCCGAGTGCATGGCCGCCACCGTCAGAGCACTGCTCACGTCCTGGGCCTAGTGCTGGGGCAGGTGCTTGGCTCCAAGAGCACCAAGAAAGCCAGAGTGGTGGGGGCTGAGACGCTGCCCACTTCTCTGCTGACTGCCAGTCTGGGCGGGGGAGGAGCGGCCACACCCGAGTTAATCTTTTTTTTTTTCCTGTGGAAATGCCACCTCGCCTCTGCGGTAGGGCTGCAGCCCTACAGGGTTAATATTTTTGCCTTCCTCTATCGGGGTCTGGTCCAGGAGGGGCGGGAGGAAGGAGCAGAGCAGAGGGCTATGGCCCTGCGGAGGGCATCTTTTTGCCCACTGTCTGCTCCCACCAGAGGAAGGCGATTTTCCCTGGGTCCAAACCAGCCGCAGAGGGGGATCTGGTCTCTTCCACTTGGGGACCTTCAGGCAAAATGGCTCCATTTGTGGACGGGTCCCCACCAGAGCAGAGTGAGGCAGCTCTGTTTGTAGACTGGCAGGACAGGCTCATGCCCAGGCTGGGCTCTGTTTGTGGAGGGTTGGGGCCCAGCTCTCACTGAGGTAGCGCCCCTTTTTCCCCTGAAGGAGGCATCATGGATGGGACTCGATGGGACCCAGGCAACAAGAGATCGAGTATGTCCCCTTTTCCACTACTAATCTGTATAATTGGAAAAGACAAAATCCTCCCCTTTCCCTGAAAAACTTCCTGACAGCCAGCAGCTTCTAGTCATCCTCTTCACAGGGGCCTAAGAGCCGGACTGGATTAGGCTAGGGAATGGGCCCCC